GGACAAAGATTTCCTTCATTGCCACCATTTTCCTTAATTTCCCCAAGATTTCTGGCATTGTCTTAAATTTCCCCAAATTTACACAAAAGAGTAACGTTACATTACTTCTCTATAGAAAAACCTTATATTTCCTTTTCATTTCCTCTAGATTTCCTCAAAATTTCCCTAGAATTTTGAAATTTCCTATTTTCCCAGAATTACCTTTAATTTCGTCAATTTCTTACATATTTCCCAGATATTTCTACGAAATTTCTTATATGAGGGACAAGAATTTCCCTCGTGATCAAACCCTCGGAAAGCTCTATCCTGCTCGCACACTGGATTCGAATAAAAACAATTGACACAATGACAAAAATTTATTTGGAAACACACGAAACAAAATCCCTGAAAGAAAAAAAACCTTACGAAGCTCGTTTGGACATATTCCTCCGCACGTAGGCGGTCGACAAGTAAAACAAGAAATCATAAAATCACTTGTTTTTTTTTAAATAATCCAAATGATCTGCTCGTGCAAGGTTTGCGACATTGAGACGCACTTATCAAATACACAAAAACACTCACTAACAGTTTCAGAAAAATTCACTTCTTCTTCGCCGGCCCGTGTGGCGCAGTTCAGTTAAAGCTGAACTGTGGCGCTAATAGGGTCCCTGGTTCGAATCCGGGTTCGGGCATGGATATTTGTAAATGTATAGTGGGTTGGGTTGGTAGAGCAGCCTTGGCTGAAATAATAAAAAAATAAATAGATAAATAAAAAATATATAGCACAGAATTAGATGTCAAACAAAACTGGTTTGATGATGAGTAGGATGAAAAAATTTTCGATGTCTGTTTGGACTGTAAAAACTTTAAATAATAGAACCTTAATGCCTACTACACTGTTTCCTTTTTCAATTCGACATTTTCGACCTTTTCCGAAATTAGACAACATTATAAAAAAATGACTACCTGTGTTTTCGTTTGCAGCACTAGCACTACCATGTCCTGTCATTTATTTTGCCTGAACCTCTTATCGAAAACCACCAGATCTCCCTGCATTTTAATACATGTTTAATACACAAATTTAAATAAACAATAAAAGCGATAAAATTTAAACAAGAATTACGCAATGAAGTACATTTTTAAAAGGAAAAAATAACACTGACAAACAAATTCAAATAAAACCAGCGAAGTCTCCCAGATTTACACTTCAGAAATAACATAAAGGTTGTTCCGTTATTATTTTACACAACAATACACATTTAAGGGGGGGGGTAGTTGGAGATAACAGTATCCTTCTACAATACGTTCCCAACAGTGAAAACCGCGCAATAAAAAAGGATGCAATGCAATTTTCAAACCTACAAAATGGCGAGGTACTCGGGCATTTCCTCTATGTCCTTTATTCGTCTACAGATGATTGTATTTCTAATCTGTTATTAAGAAGAACCTCAGAAACAAAATTTCAAAATCGTATTCTTCGAATTACAGCGGATAGTTGTTTATTTGATAATGATTTAATACAAATTAGCCTTTAACAATACGTACTACCTTGCATACGACGGTTGCGTTGCGTTCATTTGCTTTTATACAAAATTGTATTTTATTGTAGCGCCTGAGAGGCAATTGATACAAGATCGATTTTTGTACCACTTCAATGCACAAAAAGGA